GCGACAGCATATTTCTACCTTTTATGTGGAAGTCGCTGTACCAATTTTTAAGCATTTAATTACGATTTATCTAAAACGGATAACTGATAGGTAACGTTACATTGCAAAATACTCCATAGAAACCTCCACACCCCTTTTTCTTGTAGGTACATATTCATAAACATGTTTATAGAATATTGAATTCTTACTTTCAACAAAACCTTAAAACCGTATTTACTATATTTCCTCTTTTCTTCTTTTTTCCCTAATAATGTAAAAAAAGGGTATTCCAATAAAAACAGAGAACTCATTAAAAGGTGTCTAAAACATTTCAATTATACTTATCGTTGAATATCATGTAGTAAAACAAAATTAGAATATTAAGTGGTTATTGTGACTGATTGCTTTTACCAGGGGGGCTAAAAAGGTAACATTGTATGTTTCATATCTGAATCATAATATGTGACATATGTCATGTCATAAAAAGACAACATTTTGATGAATCATAATATGAACTGAAAGTGTTTCATATTTGCAATTCATCTAATATGACACTTTTGAATGGAAATTCGTAAAATGGTTTGCAAAGAGTGAATTCCTATACGTCAAATAAGCAGATTTGTCAGATGTTACTCGAGGGCATCATTTTACAGTTCATCTTGTTTATATTTTTAATAAAGTAATGAAAAATGGGAGATTTAGGCCTTTCTGAAAACTTTTTGGAGCATGCACGTGTTTTAGAAAGGTTTTCATATCGTCGGCGAAGTGAGACTCTTCAGGAAATGCAAGTTGTTTTTGAAATACCGGAGCCTGAATATGTTGGATTGTTTCGCGTAAATAATAGTGTGTGTCGCAAAATAATTCCAAGAGTTGGAAGCATATTTAGCCTCTCGACGTGGTGGAATAAGTACTGTGTGCAAGATAAGTAGCCACCAAACTATTCATTACTTAAAGTAGTTATACAACCAAGTTGCAATTATCCCTTAAGATTCTTTCAAGAAAATAATAGAGATGTATATCTCATGCATTTATTTCTGTTTAAGGTATTAAGTGCACTAATACTTAACGCTTCTGGATCGTATATTACTAATAGGCATGATTCAAGTTGTATCTTCATATACCTTGGGTTATTTCATTGTCAGTATGTCTTTTCAACAAGTTTTACACTGAAGTTATAAAATAAAACTATAAATTGTGTTCCTGTACATATAGTAAATATTAATGATTAAAATTGTGTTTCAGGATACGACTATACAGAGTGCAAGAACTAATACTAATTCTCTAGTACGAAACGGACTTATAAATAAATAGATTTTGGTCAGCACGTATCTGACGATTTGAAAATTTTGTTGTTTTCATTTGCCTTAGTTTTTTAGGTCTATAGCCATAGTACAACCTTTTGGAACATGAAGAGAGGGAGAGAGAGGAGAGATATTTCAATTGATAGAGATATCATTCACACCAATAAAATAAAGTCACTAATTTTAAAACATTTATTTCATAATCACTAACTAAAAATAACCGAGGGAAGTGCAAACTATTGTTTTTTTCTTCTCCTCTTATAATGTCTTCTGATAAATCAGAATCTGATTTCGTAGCGGGATCCAAGACAGTTAATTATGTCCCTGGGACGCGCCGGACTTCAGTGTTCTGGTGTCATCTACTGTAGATCCTGGCTTACAGGAGTCGCAGCGGTTTGGGAAGGATGTGGCAGGCTTGTCCAAAAAAAATCGGATATCTGAAAATGAAACATGATGAATGAAATTCAATTTTTATAAGTTGCGAATTTTACCTTACTTATCATATTAAAGCTACTATCATTGCCTGATTTATGGTAAGCTACAATAAAACAACACGTCATTATTTCAGTTAACACAAATACATGCAAATGCACTTGTCCTGCTGTAGTGTATCTTGCGATGAACCAATACTTAAACATTGCCAGCGAGATTTAAGTACTTCGATACACCTTTCCACGGTATTCCGAGCCGACAAAGTTTTTGGGCGTAGTGCCGTTGTTGAGTGTCTGGCTCGGTATTAATGACTAGTATTAGTACATAAATAAGCTAGTAATAAATAATTATATTTACCTTTTAACGTGTATCATTTCTTAATAGATAAAATCCATAGCGTTCAATCTTCGCCTTGGTAAGGGAGGAGCCCTTTTCTGTATCAATTTACTTCTCGAATTCCATTCACACCTCGAACTCTATTCACTGTTACTTACTTCCCAATGAAATAATGTCTAAGTTAAAGAGTTTAATATTTTTTAACAAATTTGTTTGTATATATGAAGTTTAAATTTACTGTTTATCTGACAGTGACTGACTGACGTGACATATGAGCACCAGTCATTGCCAGCAAAAAGGAAATAAGAAAAACAAAATCAAATTCTGTATGTAGTTTTTACACTGTATTTTAATGGATTTTCTAGTTTCTTGATAGATATGTGAAAATCTTATAATTAAAAAACATTCAGGATCGAAATTTTTAAATCAAGTTATAATAAAACACAAAATAAACAAAACCGGTAAAGTTACGGTTCGTTTTCTCTCTATATATTTCTTATGTAGCAACATCGGCATCTAATATGATTCAGATAAGAAATGAATTGAAGATGTTTCATATTTTATTGTTACCATTTTATGGTGATTTAGGTGATTCTCTAACAATTCATCAAATCTGTCATATTAGAAATGATTCATCCAATGTTACCTTTTTAGGCCCCCTGATCTCTTAAAAACGAAAAACCAAATAATTACGGTTATTCATTGTACTAATAATAGTTAGGATGCTACGGGTCGTAATTAGTTTGATGTGACATATTGACATCTAAATTGACGGAATAATGTAAGACGCTGAACATGCATTAAAAAATGGGTTTACAAAAACCGACATCGAAAACCAAAACCTAAAAAGAAGCAAAAGGTAAAAAGTAAAACTTTAATACAAGGCTATATACACCCAGTATACTACGTACTATATCCCACATGGGTATATAGTTCTCATCATTATAAATTAATCAAGCCTAAACACCACGTAGCTACTGTTAACCGTTCAGGAGTTCTCTTAACTATCATAATCCTTCGTCATCAGGCCCCTAATGACAATCACACCCCATATAGATGGTAAAGATCTTCTGAATACAAATAATTTAAGCCAAAACACAAGTGCATTGCTACAAATCCTCGAGGAGTTCCCTCGACTGTCTCTTGACTCCATTATCAGATCAACTCCACACCTTCATCAAATTGTTGTAGTTTCAAATACTATATCAAAAAAATAACAAACAGTCTCGCAGCCCCTACAATTTTAAAAAGTTCCCAACGGTTTCCATGGGATTCCATCATCAGATCCTGACCTGGTGGAAATGAAACCACCCCACCCACCCCTTTCCAACAAAAAAGAATCATAAAAATCCGTCCACAAACGGCGAAGTAATCGGGTAACATACACACAAAAAAACATACAGCCGAATTGATAACCTTTTTGGGAAGTCATTTAAAAACATAGTATACCTACCTCCCTCCTCCTTCTTTAAAGTCGGTATAAAGTGGTAAGTTCGAAAAGTTTTCTCCACGAGTCACTGAGATCGAGGTACATGAGCAGTTAATTTTTTAATATTTATCGACTATAAAAATTTAATTAAAACTTGGATTTGACCATTAAATAAAGGAGAATAATATAAACCTAGCCATAATAAAATTATCAGTATACTCATTTGCGACAAGTGTTTTGTATTATTAATATGTTTAATTTAGCGCCTGTTTCAGCACCTCCATGTAAATACCTACAAGATACACTTTGATGTCATTTTTTATGGCATAAACCGGTAAACGAACAGACGGATCACCTGATGGTAAGCAATCGGCGTCGCCGATGGATACCTGGAACACCAGAGGCGTTACAAGTGCGTTACCGGCCTTTTGGAGATTAGGAGTTTGAGGATCGTTGGGGATTCAGCAATTGGGGAGATCGGGGAAGGGGAGGGTAATTGGGCCTCCGGTAACCTTAATCACACGACGAAACATAACCAAAGCGTTGCTTCACGTCGGTTTTCTGTGAGGCCGTGGTATCACTCCGGTCGAGCCGGCCCATTCGTGCCGAAGCATGGCTCTGCCACATTTAAATATTTGGTACCAAAGACTGTGACTGTGTGTGACCCTTAATATAAAAACTAATTGTTTTCATTCGGCGCCTGTTTGCATATGGGTATGGAAATGGAATACTATTAAAAAATAAACAGGCTCCGAATATCATAATGTTATTTTTTAATTTTATGATTAGTTACAAGAACGGTTGTGCCTATCTGGCTTTCACCCGATCAACCGAGATCGCACAGAATAAAATTTCAGTTTTTACATTCCTTTCCTCCGTGATATCCTGCATATTATTAAACTGGTTTAATTTATGGAACGTGCAATCAAGAATTAAATACTACAATGCACTATTACAACAATATACTGCATAGATAGCTTAGCAAACATTACGAGTACCTTTTTGAGGATTTATGAGGCCGTTGGCTAATTTGACCCTGAAAACCACGCGCTGTAAATCGAATCGGACGGGAGCATTAATCACGAGGTAGAGGATTTAAGCCTCGCTCCACGATTTAACGCCCGGTCATTGCGAATATCAATGCAGAAACTATCGCTATGGTATATCTATACGTATATACTGCGACTGAACATTTCACCGCTTGTAACCTAATTGAGATGTTGTGTATTTCATGATCATTTGTACTAAATGTGGAAGAGCCATGCTTGGGCAGGTTCTCCTGAGTATTACCACGGTCTCACAGAAAGCTGATGTGAAATAACGCTCGCATTGTTTGTGTTTCACCGCGTGAGTGCGATTACCGAAGGCCAAGCCGTCCCCGTCCCGCCTATCTCCAATTATCATATCCCAAACCCCCATAAAATTCTAATTTTATTTATTAATAATCATTACGATATTTGTCAAAAAGTCTTCTAACGACTTCCTCTAAATGTTTTTTGAGTGAGATCTCGCCATCCATATCCTCAGTCCATAATATTTAAGTATTTCATTATAGCTATGTGTTCCAAGAACGTAAGAACTCTGGGACTCCCGTAGCATGAATATATAGGCACAATTGTTACATCTGGAATAAAAATTATAATTTTCATAATTATCAATCTAATGCTCTGCGGCAATGTGAACGAATCCGTCATCGATATCTTATACAGGGCTAACTTATATGCTTTGCGTAAGAAGGATGGCGGTATTCGTCCCATTGCTGTAGGTCGTACTTACAGGCGTATCGCAGCCAAAATTTGCTCCGCCTATTTCGAGTCTTTGGACAGCAAATTCCAGCCCTTACAACTAGGTTTTGGTTGCAAAGGGGGCTGCGAGCCTACGGTACATCCATATCCACATTTTTAAACAGTAAACAAGGTCAATGAGGTCATCTTAAAGGTTGACAATAAAAACGCCTTTAACTCCGTAAGCAGGGACGCCTTGTTGACTGAAATACTAAAAGAAATCCCCAAAATTTACAGTTTTCTTTGGCAATGTTATAGAAACCCTTCAAAATTACTGTATAAGGACAATTCAATAGAATCGGTTGTCGGTTGTCAACAAGGAGACCCTGGACCTGCCATTTTCAGTTTAGCCATAAATCCTATTATTCGTGAACTAAATTCAAAATTTAATGTATGGTATTTAGACGACAGAACTCTAGGAGGTGACGTCGACATTGTTTTAAAACATTTGACTACATTCAAAGAAAAACTGAGTTCTTTTGGCCTTGACCTAAATTTATAAAAATGTGAAATTCCTGACTTTACAGACAGACTAACGACTCTAGCAAAATTTAATCAAATAGCTCTAAATATCAAAATTATTGATAAGTACTCACTTCACCTCCTAGGTTCACCAATATTCGATGAATATTTTCCTAAATTCATCGAGGACAAGTTACAAAATTGCAATCACGTTTCGGATAGATTCAACACGACAAAGTCAACACACATTCGGCTATCACCCTAATTCGGTATTGTTGTTTTGGACCAAAATTTACTTATATTCTCCGCGCTTCACATCTATGGAAACATTCACACATTTTAGAAAAAGTAGACAACATTATCAGACACACATTGTCATCCATACTTAATGTGACCTTGGATGACGGAGCTTGGCAACAAGCTACTCTTCTCATTTGCATGGGAGGGCTCGGCGTCCGCAAAATTTCAAGTATTAGTTTACCAGCTTTTCTGTCATCGGTCCACAGTACCTCTGAATTAGTCAGGAAAATTCTTTCTTCGTCACTGACCAGTTTTGAGGTGCCGTTTTTGACTGATGCAGTGGAAGCGTGGAAAATGGCTTGCCCACTTACGGATTTACCTGTTCACCCATCTTCTCAGAGACTGTGGGACGTGCCGCTGCGCTGTGCAGTGTTATTCGTGTTTTTAATCAACTCGTCTTCTAATGCTGCAGAGCGAGCTTATTGGCTGTGGGAGAACGGGAATCAGGATTGTGGCTTCAGGCACTCCCGTCACCCTTCATAGGTAAAATGTTGGATGACATAACGTTCCGCCTAGCTGTATGCTTACGTTTAGGTGCTCCTTGTGTTTCTCCGCATTATTGTCACTGTGGAGAAAGAGTCGATGGCTTGGGACACCATGGTCTTTCTTGTTGCAGAAGTGCAGGCCGCATAGCTCGCCATGCCAGCATCAACGACTACATTCGTCGTGCTCTTACCTCAGCCGGTGTACCAGCCATATTAGAACCTAATGGTTTAGTACGTGATGACGGCAAAATACCAGATGGTATATCGTTGCTGCCTTAGAATATGGGTAGGCCTTTGGTATGGGTCGCGACGTGTGTAGACACCCTTGCGCCATCACATCTACTAAGTACCGCTGCATACGTTGGTGCAGCCGCTTCCACAGCAGAGGCCCTCAAACGGCGTAATTGTTCAAATCTAGTGGGTAACTACTGTTTTGAGCCGTTTGGGGTCGAAACACTTGGGCCATGGGGTCCCAGTGCACACTCTGTCTTTAAAGATAGTGCCCATAAGCTAATCGACTCTACACGTGACCAGAGGGCTGGTTATTTCTTCGGACATAAAAATATAAGCATTGCCATTCAATGTGGAAATGCTACCAGTCTTCTGGGAACGCTCCCCTGTAATAGTGATGCGGACGAATACTTTGACGCCTAAATTAAGGGTATAATTTTTGTTGTTTTCTTTTCTATTTTATTTTCGTTTTATTTAATAGTTTAGTTGTAGTTAATTTTAAGTTGTAAATATTTATGTAGTTATATACGAGTATATTTAAAATAAATTATTTTTCAATTGCATAAATTATAAAGGTAAGTGCATCGTAAGGGCTCTTCTTACTCCTCTTACTCCTATTGATATCCAAACCTAGACAGGTAGGCGGTTAGTTATAAATATGATATAATTAATTATATTTATACCTCGTTGGCCGAGTGATCGCAATTGCGACTGCCGGGCAAGGGGTCTCGGGTTCGATTCCCGGGTCGGGCAAAGTATTACTGGGTTTTTAAAAAATTCTCAGTAGTAGCACGGAGTCTGGAACTGTGCCCGGTATATGGCAATAGGCTCACCCCCTATTACATGGGACTCATAACATAAATAGTGAAAAGTGGGTGTTACATTGTACAGTGGTATAATGTGCACCTCTGCCTACCGCTTCGAGGATAAAAGGCGTGATGTTATGTATGTGTTTAATTATATTTATTTTGTTTCTGCGATAAATTACATATTAGTTTCATTTCTATGAATAAAAAGTAGGTAAGTATTAGTGTAACTAAAAATACTCACTTAAACCGGTAGTACAGGAAAACAAATCAACATGGCAATGGTTAATAAAAGGTCTATATGAACTACGCAGTGTTGAATATCGCCTCCAGATCTTTGCACAGACAGGATCAGATACTTCAGTGCAGGAAAGGGGACACGAGTGGTTACAGACCTGAATTGCACCGGTTAAAGTATGATCCATTTCGCGACGGGTCTGTATTTTTTTTATACCGCAAAGATCGTCAGCTACTTGATTAATTTCTAAAAAAAGGAATAGTTTTATTATTTTTTTACCTTTAAATAGAATATAGGATAGATTATTTTATTATGAACCTTACAAGTAATGGTCTCAATACCCAAAAGTTTTCGACGAAACTGTTTTTAGTATCTACAGCTTGTAAAAGGTAATCTCACAAAACGGCATTGCTCCCCAATACCTTTACTTATCAATTTTAATAAAAACAGTAAACATATAAAATTTACCCCGAAACTTAACACAAGAAGAACTCGTAAAACGAGACTTCCTCCTCAAATATCGGTACCAATTTGGATATATGGAAATCGTGACATAAAATCTGTCAACAAAGTCGTTTCTCTCTTCGAATCTAATTGAATACTATCCCATTTCATGTATAAAATATAAAATGTCAATACATTTAACGAACCCATTACAGAACTCAGTTCACACTCCATTGCCTTCATATAGCAGAAATTTTTATATCTCTTTATTATCTGAGTACCATCTTTTAACTCCGCCATCCCACATACTTCATCAAAAACATGAGAACATAATGGACCATCACAATTTTCTCCTGATATCGAGATTATCAAAAATACTGGAAATAAGATTATTAGGTAACTCTTGCTCATTTTCCTTTGTAATCAATTTTTGCATCTGTTCAGGTGCCATTCTCTAGCCTTGTTATTGATTAGGCATTTCCCTCGTTGTCAGTTTACCTCATGCTGTGTTATATAAAACTAATAACTTACCTAGGTACATGAAATAAAAAAGTACATCTCATTCCTAAAGCGGCTATTCAGAACATGTCATTATTATTAAAGTATTTATATGGTGGAATACATCTAGCATACTACTAAATCTACATCTACCGAAATTATTTTTGAAATATTATTATTTAACTTCACATCACACATCAACAGCCTATAATGTCTACTGCTGAGCAAAGCCTCTTCTCACGTGGAGGTTTGAGCATTAATCACCACGCTTGCTCAAGGCGGGTTGGCGATTACAAACTTATAATTAGAAATTATAAATCCCAGGTTTCCTCACGATGTTTTCCTTCACCGTTTGTCAGTGGTGTCTAGATAATCTTAGAAAGTACATATAACTCTGAAAAGTCACATTGGTACTTGCCGTTAGTAGGTTTCGAACCCACACCCTCATGACCCGCATGAGAAGCGGGCTTGTCCTCAGTCTTAAGCCTCCGGGCCACTACGACATCCCATTATTTAACTTATTTAACATTTAGTTAAGGAATATAGACTCTTTATTGTACAGTTTGCTGAATCGAGGATAGATTTACAATTATTACTTACTTGTTATCGAAATATTTCTTAAACTAATTATCATTTTTTACATTCGTTTTAAATCAATTGCTAGATCAGCGTTCTGAACAGAGTCGGCACGTGGACCCGAGCTACCATGTTATTGGAATTACTTTTTAATGCTCGCACAAGAGATTTACGTTATAAAAATTAATTAAATTCGCAATTCGTCAGCGTGATAACGCATTTATCACTGGATGGGAATTTTGGGGACCGGATTTCGTGTCGTTAGTGTGTTCGTATTTAAAGTAGGAAATTATTCTGTCGTATGGAATGGATTGCAATGCGCAAGGACGCGCTGATTTATGACTTGACGTTAACTCCGGAGGTCGTCGCGCGCCGCCGAAACATTAGCGGCGAGTGATTGCCGCGCCACGTCGCGTCACCACGCATTTTCCGAGGGTCGCCATCGGCACCAAGTGACCAAACCATTCCACCTCACTAATTTTAGATGCTCATTTAATAGGAGCACTGTGATTTAGGACGACACGGACTTCCGCATTATTACTTCTGTAAGCTGTTAGCTTGTGTAGGTAGCAGTTATGCAACGGTAGGTAAAGTAGTAGTAAAAGTTGTACTCGTAGAAGCAAACACAAAAAATATATTTTAGTAATTTGAAAAACCTTATTCTACCGTACCGAAATTACTAATTTATAAGCTATAATATAGGGTAAATACCCATCAAGATGATATATCCCTATTTTATAGTAGGCACCTTACATATTCAATGTCACAACGGACTTAAAATATGAGATATCATGAAACGTTGGATAAGAATAAGGTTTATTATAGTTCTTGTAATTTCTGGCGGCACTTTATGGGAATCCAGTACAGTAAAATAAAGCTGTCCATAATTTATGATCTTTAAAATGATAATACAACTTTATTTTCTCTGCTTGACTTTCCCACTTCCCCTAAATATTTAACTTCACATTTCCAATATGTATGTGACAACCACTACTAGAAGTCTACGCCCCTCGCATTTAATCGGCTTTTGCACTGTCCTGTCCATCGCAGTAACTTTAGTCATTCTACTTTCTTCCGCAACCAGTCGTTTGATTTTCAAGCGAATGGCACGTGAGTACATTAGCGGGAATTTGGCAGTTTTTGAACATACTTTATCATTTTTCATCTTTTATGATAGGATAATTTCATATTTGTGTCATAGGTATATTTATATCGCTACAGTGCGCTATCCACCGTAACGGCGAAGGGGTGCCAGGAGTGACGTTCGTTAAGCTGAGGCGGCAGGAATGGTGACACGCGCTTGAGTGGTGGCGTGAGCGGCTACAACAGCCGGATTACTTACGCAAGCGCGTTGTGGAAACCATTCTGCCGCACATTGATACCTGGCCAAAAAGAGAGGAGCGCATCTCCTTCAGGCTTACTCAGGTGCTGACCGGACATAATTGCTTCGGCGAATATCTGAAAAGAATTGGGCGAGAGGCCACAGCAAAACTGTGGAGGTGACCTGCATTCCGCACAGCATACGCTCGAAGAGTGTCCCGCCTGGGCTGCTGAGCGGTGGGTCCTGTTTGCCAGGATCGAGCAAGACTTGTCTCTGCCAGAAGTAGTTAAGGCTATGCTGACAGATACAGAAAATTGGAAGGAAGTGGTTTCTTTTTGTGTGATAGTAATTTCTCAAAAAGAGACTGCTAAGCGGGATCGTGAAAGGACCGATCCTGCTCTTAGAAGGCGCGGAGGTAACCGCCTTGGCGCCTAACACGTCGATATCATGCCTGCATTATCTGCAGGCAGACCTTTGGGGTCACGGGCGCCCAGAGTCGGGACTCTAAGCGCCCACCTAGTGACCTCAGGGAAGATGGTGGCACAGTGGTCACGTGCCATGCACACAGGGGATGCCCCTCTCGGAGTACTGCGACGTGGGCGACCGGTTACTCCGACCGGCCGCCCCCTGCCCCACTAGCTACTAGGGAGGAGGAAGGAGGACCTGAGCCTCCTCCGTCCCGTTCGCCGTCTCCGCGTCGGATGCGAGAGGGGGTCGTCCTCCCTCTCTCGCTCCGACGCCTTCTTCTGCGACATGACTGCGTCGCAGAAGGAGACCATCGCCTCCCACGACCTCTGGCCGCCGACCGTAGTCAGCTACGGCAGGCAGTGAGAGGTCGGCACCGACAACAGCCGTCAGGCTCGCCCTCTCTGATGCCCTCCGGGGACACTCTGCCAGAGTGTGCTGCGCCGTATCTTCGACGCAGCCACACTCGTGGCAGACCGCCGTCGGATCCGGAAAGGACCTGTGTTAACCGGAATCTTGGAGGCACCATGCCCTCTGCCGATCCACGCCTCCATAACTGGACTTACCGCCGCTACTATAGTACTATAGTGACGCGAGAGCCTTTGCTTCTATGTCTCAGGGCGGAGATCCAGCTAGAAGGGTGGCCGCCTCGAAAGAGATTGTGCGGTACCCCCTTATAACTCTGATGGCAAACGCGCGCTGCGGACCCCGCAGTAACGTTGCGTTCCGTCAGTCCGTCTGCCCAAACTGGTGCTGCTACCCTCAGTTTGGGAACCATCTGTCGAAAGTGGGGCCGGAAGTCCCATCGACTATCAAGGACTAGTCCGAGATATTTCATAGTCGACTTGACAGAGATGTGAACCCCTCCAACTACAATGTGTGACCCTGCAGGTGAACCACGCCTAGGCTTCAGATTTATTGAGAGCCACCTTCAGGCTCAGACGCCGGCTGGATCCTCGACACGACTTGCGCAACACCAACCGTCGCCAATACCGCAGCGTCGCGATAACTCTTTCCGCGTGCTGTCACCAACGTATCATCCGCATAGCAGGTGATAGCAACGCCATGAAGCAGAGCACTGCGAAGTACCCGATGTCGTACCTGATGTTCCACAGGAGCGGTCCTAGGACCGAGCCCTGAGGAACACCGGTCGACACCTCGCGCTGACCCCATCTCTGAGAACCAGGATAAATAATTGAGCTCTCTGAGAGATAAACACCGACTGACCACCTAGTTTTACCTCAACTAAATCAAACTATCAAACATGTACTGTTCACCAATTATGTAAGGAAATAATGAGCAAATATGGAGCGCTAGAATGCGACCTAACGGAAGTATTTACAGCAATATTATTATTCTTTACAATTCCTGTCACTTTTCCAGCAGCTGCAAGGTCATTTAGCAAACTAAACATTTTAAAAACTTATTTAAAATTATTTAATAATATGAGCCAAACTCAACTCCGACATTTCGCTAATATCAATTGAAAACAAAATTGCATCAAGCCTGGATTTAAACGAACTCATTGATACTTTTGCGAAAACTAAAGGTAGGAAAAAATTGTAAATATTGTTATTGAGTCAGTTGTTAGGCCCGACCTTTATATAATAAACTCTTGAATTTCTGTATTTCATTTTATTAGCCAAACCTACACCAAGTATTTAATTGTAATTAAATTATGTTGTTACTGATTAATATTTTTATTACCTGGTTTGCAGTTAAAAAAAGAGCTTAAGCTGCTTAATTTACATAGCAGTGGGGGCCCATTTTTTACTTTGCCCCAGGGCCTTTAGTTACCCAGCTACGCCACTGACTACAGAGTCTTTATTATGATAAAATGTTTATCATAACGTTATTATGGGTACTATTATACATTTCCTTTCCGTTATATTGTTTTTAATCTAAATAAATGTTATTTTCGGACTATTAAATAATTAATTATTTAAAAATAAACCCTCCATGTAGAAGTACACCGCATCGCATTGATGTCGTATATCACAAGGTACTTAAGTGAAAAGCAACCTATGTACTAAAATACAGAAATAATAATGAATTATTAATGTAGGTATTTTTTGTATTTTTTCCAATAAAAAAAAACAATCTGCTTATTTATTACCATTAAGGCGGAACAAAGTTCGCCGGGTCTGCTAGTCTTATTTATAAAAATTAGCAATTACGTACACAAAAAACAATTTCAGATTAAATAACTTTTACAGGGTTCTGTCAAACAATAAAATACTAAATTGAAACCGACGATAAACATTTAATCACGACGATATGATGTGTACAACAGCGTGAAGTATGAATACGCTGTTGTAAGGATCTGAAACAATAATTTTTATTTACCACAGAAAAACCGAAGCCAATCTAAATTGTAAGGTATTCCTAAGCTAAGATAGGTGACATATAAGGACATTTTGGTTTTTACCAACCTATAAAGTGACACCTAACAGTACAAGTTAGGTGCTACGTCATGCTCAGTAACTTTTTGGTAAGAGATGGTTTAAGGGCAGGTGAAATCAGCCACTAGTCTACTACTACAATACTTAGTTGCGAAATTGGATTGCCGATTTTGACATGATTTACTTTTACAACTCCTAATCCCCAAATGGCCGGTAGCGCACTTGTAACGCCTCTGGTGTTCCAGGTGTCCATGGGCGACGCCGATTGCTTTCCATCAGGTAATCCGTGTGCTCGTTTACCGGCTTATGCCATAAAAAAAACAGGACATTTTGTACTGAAACTGATATAGGTACCTGTACCCTAAACTCTCAATCTAATTAATGAAGTTAAAATAATTACTATTATCATTATGTAGATACGAATAAATCAATAAAATTTTTAGTTCTATCTCATGCATTACCTATATATCTTGACTTCCCTTCTCTTAAATCATTACAGTTTGCTAAGAAATCGGAATGGAACACCAGATTTCGATAACCTCAGTAGGTACTATAAAGGAAACGTTTCATTATTTATAACGAGCTAACGTCAACACATTTGAACAATAAAAAAATAAACTGTATAAACCACAAGGATAGCAATATTCGCAAAAAAAAGGAACACTCGTACAAGCATAAATATCTATCATTTACAACAAAAAGGTGGGTAACTGCCGTAAACAATTCCGCTGTATTGCTTTATTTTCGTGAAAAATAGTATCAAAGGGAATACTCACTGAACTATATGTAATCATTGTGATAGCGCGAAATTTGAGAGCTGTGAAGTACAAAGGCCTCTGTGACCTGCAAACAAAACTCACTTTACCATTCGCAATTTCGTACCTACGCAGAATAAACCACAAAGTTTCCTGTAAGTGTAAACGTACATCCACGAGTACTTCAACTATTTTGGACACATGTTAAAAAAACCTTGTGTAATACACATTCAAAATATTGTTTAAGTTAAACGGTTTTAATAAACTCCATTCTATTAATCAAGCTCTCGTTTGACATTCACAATGGAGGTAGCTGTGGTAAAAATTAGATTATAATATTGCAATGATCATCAATATTAAGAGTGTGTACCGAAAAACAGATCGATTTGTCATCATATGGACTACTGGCCTTAAAGTGCTGGGTCGTGATGGTAGTTTGGTGCAATTCTTTGTAATAGCATCTAAAAATATTACTTAAGCCGCCACCTTTCACCAAATCATTTCTTACCAGTACCAGTACCAGTACTTTACCGGCTTATCTCATAAAAAAATCATTCTAAATGTACATTCTTAACAGTATTTATAATATAGATACGATACTAATGCATTCATCTCACTACACTCTACACATTTATAATAGGTAGATAAAGTTAGATAAAGAACATATCATGAAATAGTCCTCATTTAGTTTACAAGCGCTGAATACGTGCATCATTAAGTAAATAAGCAAATAAGGCTACTGGCAATATAAAGTCAAAGAGCGAACCGTTGAAGTACGACGAGCATCGCGCGCCTGCACCTCGTGTTGCTCTTGTACCATCCGCTCTCATACACCGCGTCTGCTACACCTACGCTCTGTGAGTTACATTGAAAATACAACATTATTCTCTGCCTTCCTATTACATACTTGAAACTAGTTAGACTTAAAGTTTCATAATATTTAATGATATAAATGTAGGTAATAAATGTACGGAAGCCGTATGTTTTTACTCTAAACGCAAAAAGTAATGAACGGATATTAATGAGGCACATAGATAGATTTTTTTTAAACTTTGCCCCACACTAGGATTTTCGCCTGTGTCCTGGATGCGTTTACAAAAATACAAGGTCACACACACAAGACACCCAGCCCCGAATAAACAATTTGTGAATCACACATAGAGTTGTTCCGTGTGGAATTAAACCCGCTACACGTTGCGCGGCATCCGATAACCTAGCCAACGCGCCAATCGTGCAAACACATTTACTGTCTAATATTTAAACAAACTTATTTTTGTCTCCTCCTCAATCTCACCAATCCCCGAATCCCCAATCCTCAAATTCTGAACCCCCAAAAGGCATAGCAATTGTAACGCCTTCAAACAAATTGTAGTTATTATTATTGTAGTTATTATTATTTGGTACTGTGACTGCGTTGGCCGAGTTGTCGCAATTGCGATTACCGGGCAAGGGGTCTCGGATTCGATTACCGGGTCGGGCAAAGTATTACTGGGTTTTAAAAAATTCTCAGTAGGAGCACGGAGTCTGGAATTGTGCCCGGTATATGCCAATAGGCTCACCCCCTATTACATGGGACTCATAACATAAATAGTGAAAAGTGGGTGTTACATTGTACATTGGCATTAATATCGGAATACTCAAACGCTACTCAATTTTAAGTCGCGCTTAAGTATAGTTCTGTCTCTACAAATTCTTTGTAAAATGACAGAGATGGCACGATATTTAAGCACGACTTAAAATTGAGTAACGTTTCAGTATTCCGGCATAAATGCCGTAATGTGCACCTCTGCTTAGCCCTTCGGGGATAAAAGGCGTGATGTTAAAAAAATATATTATTTTGTACTAGTTGTTGCCCGCAACTTCATTCGCGTAGAATATGATTCCTGTTTTATCCCATGTGAGCATTATTCGGGATAAAAGTATCCTATCACCTAAGTCAGCACATACCCTGCCTCTATACCAAATTTCATCAAAATCCGTTCAGTAGTTACAGCGTGGTTGGCAGACAAACATCCAAACAAAGAAACTTTCACGTTTAGGTTAGTGTGATACTTACAGCTCTATATATATCATCGGCGTACCAGCATACAATGAATATTTGCGTCAAAGCAGCTCCAAGATAGAACTTATTACTCATTTCCATCCACGAATCTAAAAACTATAAACGAAATAAACAAACAAAGTCAATAATTACGAAAATAATATAGTGTCTGACATTTTAATAATAAGGAATACTTACCACAATAGTGAACATGACACAGCAAATGTTAACGGAACTTAACAATACGTTAATTAGATTTACCACCGAAAAAGCATCCTCCAAATCTTTGATGTACCTGGAGTGTGCATACATAGAACTATTAGTTATACCTTCCACACTGTTTAAATCTTGAGGAATATGTAACAATATTGATGATGTTCTTTTTTTTAAAAAAAAAACGAAAAAAAAAGATGACAGGGTATGAAAATTAAAAATCTAATTAGTGCATCAGTTGGGTAATGAAAAAATATTAGACACGTACCTATTTTTTTATTTTGTCATTCAAGTAACACAATACTTCGAAGGAAAGAATCAAAGTTTAGGAGTGGGAGCGAAAACGTCATTTCTACGAAAAAAACGTATGTACCTACAAATGACATCACGCGATATTTGAAATTAATATATCGTCGAAAAAATTTAAATATTTGTTTCTGAAAGAAAATAAAAAATACGTGTCTAATGTTTTACAATAATCTACCAGAAGGACATTAAAAGAAAAATTTGTCATCTTGAATTTATACAGAGTATAAAGTTTTTCAGAAAAAAAATTCTAGTTCTTTTTGTATCTAAAAACAACGTCAAACACACCTGATAAGTCGCTGATGTATATTAACAACTTCAACAATATCCTTATAGCAATCATTGCACCTTGTGTCAAAAGGGTCTTTACTTTCCACTGTACCGAGCCGACGAATTTGATTCTGTAGTAGACGGAGCAGCATACTGATGTGACTAGCCATCGTCATGAATAACAAGTCCGAACCGAGCATACAGCACACTGATATACAACCTACAAAATACTATTATTGAAATGTAAGCAATCTTGTATTTATTTCGTTTTTAAATATTTTTTGCGTACACATATTGAGTCAGACTGCCTCGTTGGCCGAGTGGTCGAGTGGTCGAGTGGCAGAGTAGTGGTGTTACATTGTACAGTGGTATAATGTGCACCTCTACCTACCCCTTCGGGGATAAAAGGCGTGATGTTATATTATGTTATATTGAGTTATAGTTATATGTGATGTTATGAATGTAGGTATGTAGATTTTCAATTTCTCGGTACCTTCGAATCCTAATTTTTAAATACTCTCTATGTACAGAAATTAGTTCAGGTTTACAAAAAACTTGGCAAAATGCGTACACTACAATTGCAATCTCCCACTACGTCGTAGAAATGTGATTTAATACTTCCATTATGTAAGTACGAAGCTTTTAAAAGCATTCAAACTGTGAAAGCTTAGGAAAACAGTAAATAGAGAGGAAAACTTGTACAATATAACAAGACGAAATATATTTTTTTCTCGTAATTACCTATTATTGCATAGAAATATAATTTCCCTTACAATATGAGTATATTAAAGAACAAGTGCAAAAGACGAACCAGCGCATGTTTCAAAGATATACACGATGCCGTGGACTGCGGGCTTGGTTTTATCAAAGGGGTACGCCATCTGCCACACGTAGCCAAGAGCTGCAGACATACCACGCAGTTTACGGTACAGGAGCACGGCAATCGGTGTCAAATTATACAACCACACACCCAAGATATTCCAAAAGGCATACACTGAAAAATATTGTTAATCTATATATATAAAAGAAAGTCGTGTTAGTTACACCACTTATAACTCAAGAACGGCCGAATAGAATTGGCTGAAAATTGGTAGGGAGGTAGCTTAGAGCCAGGAGACCGACATAGAATACCAATTTTTAACCAATTTTTTTTTTTACTTTTTACCGAAAATCAAAAACGGGACCGAGAAATATCGGGATTGCGCGTACGAAGTCGCGGGCAGAAGCTTATTTAAAATAAAAGCAAACTTCAGTGGTTAGGTCAAACTAAAATGAAAAATGAAAACACTGAACTACATTTAACCTTTGTTCTGTAGTTATATGAGACACAATAGAAAACGCATTGTCTCGTCTCGCGTAGATCTTTGCTCCGACATACCAGGGGTTAACTTAAACTTTTAATCGCCTGGTAGGGGAATACAAAACCTTTTTCCTAGCAGCAAATGTGTGCATTTGCAGCAGATATTTATAATTCTTAATAACCACTGATATGATAAGACTAATAACTCACTGATGACTAATTGCAAATAACAGAATCTATCAAAGTTTAAATGACTTACAGAACTGTCTATGCTTAAGTGTTGAGAGACTGTTTCGTTTTATCTCTACTCCGTCCCTGTATCTGATAGAGACTGGCCATATCTCTGCCAGCTCCACTACCAGTTGTCTGAACGTGTGCCTCTTGTACCAAATTGTTATCAATTTTCCGAAACCTGAAATACACATCCGATATTCTAATTTATGTAGAGGTAATTGTCTAATTACAAGTTGGAACTAAAACTACATGAACAAAAATTATATCGTAGTGAAGTTTGTATCATGGTTACTCCTCTTTGATTAAACTTGTTACAAAGAAGCAGAATACAATACACCTACGAACGAAACACGTATGTTTGACGCCAGCTCTAACTATAAACCTAAAGCCTGTATTTCGAACGTCTCAATTTTACGACCGTCATCTACCCCCTTACACCTTAAATATTACTCACTCATTCCGTCTGACTTTGAGCACTCGTCCTGTCCGGGCTGTTAGCAAATGTGCCATTCAAATGAAGTACGGCTACCAACGATTTTCTCTTACTTTCTCTGTAAGTAGATACTTTGGACTTCTAATCCCATGATATGTATGTAGGTACTTTAAGGGAACCATACAACGTTATAATTACATAACATATAATACGTTATTAATACATACATCAACGTTGACATGCTAATTACACCCAAATCTATGATCATAATGTGCTGTTATTGCATATATTAGGTATACTCACTCATTGTATCGTATCCGGCGATGTGTAAATAACTACCGACAAATTCCTCCACGGAGGCGGTATTAATCATCTGGCCGGCGACATACGCTATCTCACCTGCCAGCATCAGAACCAATAACGATGACGCCATTATGAACAATAGATAAGAAGTAAAACTTTGGAAGAAAGTTTTTGGTATATCTATAAAAGATAGCCCGATATTGCGTACACAAAAATTGCAAAGGTTTAACGTTTCGTGAATCTCTTTGCGAGCAACGTTTCTATCTTCTTCGGACATTTTGAAACAGGTTTCAAGACGAACGGAAAATAACTGTGACGGTATTACAATATATAATCATTTTTATATGTACTTAAATGTTAAATTATTAACAAAACTACCTACGTATAATGTAATGGAAAAATCTGTACCAGTACAACGTACATTAGCGTCCTTCAAAGTTCGTAATAACCAGGTAGAACGTTCTTTGGAAAGTTTTTCTGTCATTCCCAAATCTCAATCTTGAAAACATTTTTTCCTCACCAACTTTCTTACATTTACCTTCCAGAAGTAATTTGTATATAAATTATTCTATTAAAGGAAGACGCGTAATCAGGTTAATCGAATATGTGTACACAAATATTTATACTTATGTAACATCCTGACTACCTACCACACTGAATTTTACCTAAAATTCAGATGTTCATTAGTTTTGTATATCTCGATGTTTGGTCTCTATCTCGCCTGATAGTAAGCAATGATGCGGCCTACGAATCCTGCGATGGGGCACGTCTGCCCATAAGCAACCTATTCACTCGTGCAAAGAATTCCACTCCTTAGCAGTTCGCACAAAGAAGCTTAAAGCGAAATGCTTCGTGCGATATCCACAATGAAGCGGTGGCGTTTCGCCTATTGTCTTATGGTACAATGACGGAAAGGACTAGAGAGAATCAAGCTGTGCAATTTTAATGCACACGCATCGAAACTTTTTTTTACATTGTCCTACACTAGGATTTTCTCCTGTGTCGTGGGTGCGTTTACAAACATACTAGTTCACAGACACAATGACACCCAGACCCGAAACAACAATTTGTGGATCACACAAAGTGTTATTCCGTGCGGGAATCGAACCCGCGACACGGCAGCCAGTTGCCCAGACACCGCACCAACCGTGTGGTCAATAAACTTACCTGGTAAAGGCAAATGTACACATCTCGCAAAAGTGAAGGAAATAGTGACTGAAAATCCCCATTCAACTCTGAGAGAAATAACCGCCGAACTTTCTGTGTCTCACGAGTCGATCCGTACCATTTTAAACTGTCAAACACCAAGCGGTCACCGGTGACCGCAACCTATTGTTCTTTAATTGTGTCTATAAATACGGTACTCGACGAGTTAACTAATTAATTGGGTATGAAACATGTTGCTGCTCGGCTAGTCCCAAAAAGTCTGAATTTTCTCCAAAAACTCAATCGCATGAAAGTCGCTGAAGACATGCTAGAACGAGTCAGTTCGGACCCAACATTCATGAAACGTATTGTTACTGGTGACTAGACGTGGGTTTACGAGTTTGACATGCAAACTAGTCAACAAGCTTCGGAGTGGCGTCTTCCAACTGAACTGAAACCGAAAAAAACATGCCAAAGTCTATCAAAAGTCAAAGTCATATTAACTGTTTTCTTTGACTATCGCGGTGTTGTGCACTCTGAATTCTTACCAGAAGGTCTAACGGTAAATAAAGATTATTATTTGAGCGTTATGCGGCGTTTAAGAGAGCAAATTCGACGAAAAAGGTTAGATTTGTGGAAAGAAAATTCTTGGATTTTGCACCACGACAATACGCCTTCGTACAAGGCGAACAAATGTTTGACCAAACACTCAACAAATACCATCCAGCAACCACCATATTCACCAGATATGGCTCCTACTGACTTTTTTCTTTTTCTTAAACTCAAATTACCACTACCTGGCACCTGTTTTCAATCGATAGAAGACATAAAGGAGAATTCGCGGCGAGAACTGAACTCAATTCCGGAAGCAGCGTTAAAAAAATGTGTTGATGAATGGATTATTGGTTGGCGCCAGTGTATCTTTTCTAAAGGAGCATTCTTTGAAGGTGATACATTAATTTGGATGAATAACAGACATTTTGTGTATTATTGGTTTTTTCCCGATACTTTTTTGACAGAGTAGTAAACTAATTTTAATTTCGGTGTTACACTGCTTGATTCCTGCTTAATTATTCCAATTACGCCACAAGCGATGTCAACTGCAATCATTGAATTCATCATGTGCGATAGCGACCAAATAACTTGATCTGCAACGGTAATATGACGCCTGTAGAGTTCCCTAAACCATCAGGGGTCGCTATACACTGGTAAATTGAGGAGATGTGATTAAAACATGACTCGAAAACAATGCAATTAATTTGTAACGCGCATATTCTATTAAATTTCACATTCATTATAGCAATAGATAACGGCCATGAAAATACAATGGTCAAAATACTCGATAGTGGAAAACAAAGATATCTAATTTTATAAAAATATCGGTAAAAAGGCTGTCTCCGCGCTAAACGGTTCCCGATACGCATTCCAAGAAAATGAAATAACTAAATGTATATGAAGTCCATTACAAATGATCCCTATTACAGAGTTTCACGCGAAACAAATAGGACTTGTATCCAAGCGACAACTAAACTGTCAGTTTTTTTTAAATTATTATTTACGGTTGGTACTCGTATGAACCTATAAAATATTTTGATTTTAAGAAGGCAAATCTCAGTAGTTGTTTTTCGAACAATACCAAGTTTCGAGTGAAGTTTTAAACTGTTCTCAGGTCCAGCATATATTATTAGTTGCAAGAGGCAACACTTCACCTCTCCACGTCGGACGCTCACGGCTCAACTAAAATTGCATTTCGTGCACAGTGTTACATGCTAGAAGCAACTTGTCGCCGGGAACATCGCTCGTCTTTGAGGGGAAACTAAGTTTAGATATTAATAAAGTTGTGGTTTCTGGAGACACCTTCCTCATATTATGTATGCTTCGTACCTCAAACTGTTAGAAGGAATAGTCTGAAACATGGGACTATGTGCTCATAGGTATATCTATCCAAACCATATACCTTCGTAAAACATGATAATAAGAATAAGAATAATTTTATTTCCTATTATTTAAACGAAATGTGGTATTGAATATATAGAAAGCACAATCACAATTGCAAGGTAGACCAAAATATACATAGTTTATAATACATACATACATACATACAAGTTAACATAAACAGTGGCATTTCTGTGGTAGAGAGGTAAATCTAAATAAAAATAATGAAATCATATAATACTCCTTGCAAATAATAGTAGTGCATATTAGAAATTCACAGGACATTAAGTTGGATACCAAAAGTGTAATAAATGTCCACTGACGGTATACAATAACTTATGCCCAATTACCATAGAAAGAACCTGTTCCGGCTCTAAATCATCCTATAAAGTCCACGGTTACCTGTTTACAACAAAGTTTACCAACTATAAATTGGTTGACATCCTATTTACACCACATATCGGCTCCGAAGTTTGTATAGGCAGGGAATGTAAACAAACTATCGACCTCAAATCCTCGAAGTGAAGCACGGCGGCTCACCTGTCCCTGGGATTATTCAAGTCCCGCATTTAGCTGGCTTTACGGGATTACGGGACGACGCGGGATCTCGCGAAAGTAAGCAGCCGGATGCTCGTTTATCCACTGACAGATCTTTACTTTGTTTTACTTTTCAAGTCACGCAACACTACAACGTCTCCTAGGTGACCGGTGTTACCGCGGTGCGAAACACTGCGATGTGATATCATCGTTTTATTACAAAACATATGTAACTATCTCACAATTTACTACCAATAATAAAATGTAAATTACTTTACTAATTATTCATAAATAACAGTTTATATTTAGAGGTAGTACCTTCTTCTACAAAACAATGCCTAAGTAACTCCTCTGGTGTTATGGGTGTCCGTGGGCGGCGCCGATTCCTTACCATCAGGTGATCCGTTTCCTCGTTTACAGCCCTATCATTTATTAATAAAAAGTCTACCTTATTTTTAGGTTCTGTGTAAATAGAACATAGTAATATTATCATATATCACAGTATTCCAATTACGTACAACATGAATGCAGCATTGAATCTCATTGGCTTTGCACTTGTAGCAAAGCTGGCGAGGCAGGAAAAATGTAGGGGCTCCGTGCGGCTTATCTCTTTACGAGACTCGACCGGCACCGGGAAGCCCGCTAGACATTTTAAAGGATTACACTACTTGTGTACTGCAGAGATTTTATTTTTAAATCTTATTAAAATCCAGCTAGTGCGAATTGGTGACAAAATTTTGCTTCTCATTTAACAGAGGTTTATGAATAGCACCTTGTTTCTATTTAAATATGATTTTTAAGTTATAACTTGTATCGACGCTGACGTTGGAAAATAATACACTAATTTCCATAAAGGCAAGTTGAAGCAGTCTTATCCACATAATATATAGGTACATAATGTAAATAGTCATTTAACCGAAGAATAGTACCTAGATCTCAATTCTTAAACGTCAATTTCTAGCGTTCATGAACTAAAAAGAACTGAGTAGATTACTATATGTAATAAAAAGTAAAAACTATGCATAATTTGAAATTAAACCCTGAATTACTATAACAAAAATAAAACATTCTAAAGATGCATGGGGATGGAACCCGGTAATCTTAGCATGTTTCAATTTATGGTAAACCGCACTACAACCCCAAATAGGTGGTTAGATTGTGGTACAAGTTTAGTTAACTATAAACCCACAGCTATCTGTCTTGTCTTCCAATATTAGGCATCTACAGTTACTTACTACCGAAACTCTGTTAGATACACGTATGTAACATTAGTAACCCGTGTTTGTAGAATGTGGTTACAGCAGTTGATGACAATCTTACTAAAGATCTATCTAATCATTATAAAACCTACAGCAAACCAAAAGCTGTGGATAATTATCAATTTTTTATGAAGCCGCGTCATTTTCTAGGAGGTAACTCAGACATCGATTCTGAGTGCGAATCAATAAAAAAAATTGTAGGTTATCATTTTTCCGAAATTACGGAAATCCGTACTAAGTACGAAGTACACGCCGCCGTTTTGTAACTAGCTTTATAACGCGGCTTAACACACACAATTCTCAAATACGTAATTGATATTATTCCTAATTCCATAAAACTCCTATAAGAAACATTGCTGTCGCTTATTGTGAAATACTGTCGAACTTAAACGATTTATTATAGCCGTATTTTTAACTATTGGCCAGAAATTTTCTCTTACATTAAACCTTCTGACTTCTGTGACATGCCTCCGAGAAATGACACGGCTTCAAAACTACACCTTGTATAACTTCTGTGAAGTTTCCGTGAAAAAAAGGATCCTAATTATTAATTTCGACCGTTAATTTGTGTATCATGCGACCTGAAACGTTATCCGCTATTTTGCTGTCAAATGTATCGTCTCTATTGCCAAAAACCTTGATCCAATAACAAATTGCTTCTACTTTTGAATTACTATTTTCTTCAATTAATTAAATAATTAAGTACTTAAATATAGCACTATTAAAATGTCTACTTGTAGGATAAGGATTTTCAAGAATTATTGCCTATTTAAATTAAAAAAATTTGAACAAGTCACAAGTAGCTTATGCTTTTTTTAATTAAAAGTACTGTAAGACTACTGTTGTTAAAATTTTGTTTATAGTTAAATGAACTGTAACATAGGAAAGCGCTTAAACAAACGGACGCTAGTATAATATAAGAGTACCTACTTGAAATATCAAGGGCGATGTCTGGTGCGCCGCGTCGCCTGCAGCGGCTGACCGGCGACCGCCGCGGCTTGGCTGCCTCCCGTCTACGTCTCCACTTCAATTTGCGCTCAGCCGCACTCCCAACAGAATTCAATTACGAGTACATGAATAAACATTCCTTTTTCCTTTACACGCCAACTTCGTTCGGATACGTATCGAGTGTAAGTGGAAAACAGTAATTGAGTGAAAAAACTACATTCGTTTAAAAATATCACTTCTTTGTTCACATTTTCAATTTTACTCCGGTTATTCTCGTAGTAGTTTCATATCAGCTGAAATATTATGAAACGAGTTTCACGCGTGAGAACAATTTTTTGTTAAAAATACAAAAGGGTACCTATATGTAGATATGTAGGTACACTTGAGAGCAATGTAGCCGGACTATAAAGAAAGTTTATTTTTGAAAAAAAAAGTGTTACTATGTGTGTTAGATTCCGCGACAAAAACGTTTAACCAAATTGAATTAATATTCCTCTTTTCTGTGATCTAACTACTATCATTTATTCCATTTGTGTAATTTCACAAAGTATAGGTAACCAATAAATTCGTCCTACACTGTCATCACCTAATTACTTCATAGATATCTATCATAGATACTTGATAAATGTATTGTACTTTTCAATGCCTTTTTTTAGACTCCTGTGAATAACCAGATTGGCAGATTCCATTGCTCACCAGGTGTATATTGTAAAGGTCGTTTATACCTCTATAAAAGCATCGATCCAATACATCAGGAAAACAATAACCCTGGTGTTTCACACTGAAGTAGACATATGGGAAATGGACAAAAAATATATTTGAGTGGAACCATCGGAATTCTAAAGCAATCCATAACGGGAAGCAAAAGCAAATCCCGACGAACGATGCGCTATAAATCCACAGCCGATGACAGATCTCGTGCGCGCGTAGCAAGCCCACACTGCCTTTAACACTTTATATGAAAATGTTAAATTGGACTTGATTTACAACAACGCCGTTAGTCATGTCCTCGTATTTGCATAACGTATGTACTATGTACTGCAGCATTTCCTATATTTTGCACGGTTCTTTATTTATAATAACTGGAAACGCTGCATAACCACGCACCGCGATATATTTTAGAGCTAATTAACAAAATGAACAGCGGTTTTTGGGCTTTCATGGCACTGTCAATGAACGGATTACGATTTGACGTTGAATTTTCCCTAAAAAGGTAACCATGCGCATTTAGTTCAATTAGTTAAAGGTTACAGGTTCAGTTTGTTCTAGTCAATATGTTCATTGAGCACCCATTCAAATTGCATGTTACTCATTCATGATTTCAAAGACAAAAGAGAAAAGAAGAGTTCATATCTAACAGTCGCACTTAGAACCACTACTCCTACGAAGCAGTTAAACAAGGAATCATAAATATAAAATGCTGTACACAGTGAAACAGTAATGACATACCTAATTATATATTCAGTTTCCTTGACTTCGAAGGAGTCAAAAAGCAACTTGAACTGTTTTATTATGAATGAGTTAAGCCAAGTCCAGAGCCCCGGGCCGTGTCGTCTCCTTTTTCAGCTGACTAAGCATTGGGAAAATCGTGATAACCGATGCCAAGTTTGTCGCTTTTGAACTTGCTGAATTCAAAATATCATTGCGGGGTAAGAAATTCATTCAAGATATGACGTTCGCGATATTTTTGCATATAAAAATAGAAACTTACAAATAAAGGTAATACGTACAACTACTTTAAATTCATTTTGTGGTCACATGACATGTATGTGGATAGAGAAATCGAAAACCAACATAGAAGCCACTTCATCGTAACCAGAAGCTAATGGCATTCGGGCGCGGGTACCCTTCGCTTAATTAAGTGAGTAGAGAACGAGTTGCGGGCCACATGTTGCGAATACTCCGTTGTGCTCACGCCACTACTCGCTAAGTGCGGGAATAAAGAACATTCTGCTCTAAACACAGATATTCCCTCTGCCGATAATTAAAAAGTTTTAGAAGACAAACTTTGCTGTTAAACTTACACGCACCTTTGCAGCTATTGGAGTGCTTTGTAACTTCTTGTCTGCTGGACTATACTCCAGTAGAAACTACTGTCAAACACCGAGAGGACACCGATGACCGCAACCTATTGTTCTTTAATTGTGTCTATAATGACGGTACTCAAAGGGTTAATTGAAGTGCACCAGCACACTGTAAGGCAAAAAGTATTTGCAAGTTATTCATACATGTTATGTAGGTATTTGTCTGTTTTTTGACTATGAAATTCTGATGACTACACTCAATTAGTCTATGATATTAGTAAAAGCTCACCCCTTATTGACTTTGACAAAATAAAAGATCAGCATCGTTACGCCATGTTTATCTACACTAACTAAATGTCAAATGCAATGGCATCTGATAAGCAAAATCGATTATACTATCGATATAATTTATTATCGTTAGTGAATTCTGGGGACGTGATCGAATCAGTGTGGTAATTACAAGTTGGTAACCGCATTAACCTACATCGTAAGTAGAGCTGACGACAGCGACGTCGAGTCGAGTGTCTGTGGCCTACACCTCACCACGCCACGCCGTGATTCTGAAGCACCGAGTAGGTACTCGAGTGTCCTAATAAAACCCGAGTAAAGCCCTCGCAGCCAACGAGTTAATTTACTCCAGTGATGATGTTTACCTTTTTACGGCTAGATGCTTTTTTCAAGCCCCTTTAAGTGCCGGTCGCTTTTATAACTTTTGCGTAAGCACTAAGTCGCTTGAGCACTCACTATAAATATAAAGCATACCTTGATTTTATGATGGCGTTTTATTTACTTGGGCATCTTAATTTTCTTTGTGATACTTTTTATGAACGCGTATTTTAGGGATTACATAAATATTCATTTTATAGGACAATGTTCTAATAAAATACACTGATGACGATAAAATTATACTAACTTGTAATATTATTTATTCTTCATACCGCTAATTTTTAATCTATGCGTATTTTATAATGTTGTCACCATTAGTTAAACTTGTAGACGGTTAAAATATCTATCATTATTATTTTATTTTTTATTTTGATATTTTTTATTATTTACTATCTGAACGACAATGTTAATGAAAAATCAGGCCAAAATAGCTGGAAAAACATCCAGGGATGCCATATACTCAGATTAGTAAAAAAAAAAAAAAATAAAAAAATTTATGGTATTTTTCCAGCCAATTACGTATTAATTAAAGCAAAAAGCTTTTACTGTTTTTCTTCAATATAAACTATATATAATTTTTAGGTGTCATAATTTTTTATCGATTCAAACAAATATATTTTCTGGAAAAATGTTAAGTAGGTAGTAGACAGAGTTATGCCAACTGCTGCTTACAAATTCATTTATAAAAAAAAGAAATATCTGACAACAAAACAAGAAGAACGATGTGTCTACTGGTGTAGGTTACATCGTCATCTGCATGTAGCCTACGTATACATTTGTGAAATGTACGCCAAAAGGAACCATCAATCAAACAGAACACAACACAACGATATATTAATCCTGCAACATCGTAGTTTCTAAAGAAACAATAAAACATGGCGCCTCTGTTTTGGATGAATTTCTTTTATTTTTTTATGGGATAAGCCAGCAGATGAGTTGACAGATCACCTGATAGTATCTAAACAATCAGCGCCATTCATAAACACCCGAAACACCAAAAGCATTAGAAGTGCGTTGCCAAAATAATATCTGTAATAATAGGTATCTTCCGATTTATTTCTTTGTAGGATCCAAATCCAGTTATTCATGCCCCTGGGACGCACCGGACTTCAGTGTTTCGGTATTTTCATGTTTGTATATACTGTACTTGATCCTAGCTTACTAGATCCTGGAGTTGCAGCGGTTTTAGGAGGAGGATGGATGATGGATTTTATGTGAGATAACATAACAATTTCCTAATAATTAATTTTATGGTAAGTTATTGCATATTACTGATCCTTTGCTCGTCTGCAAATCTCTCATTTAAATCCGTCACTGTACGCAAGCATTAAAAATGTACTAACGCCACCATATTCAGCGACCTCATTTTAATTAGAAATGGGTTTTATCATTAATTTCTTTTTATAACTCGAGGAATGATCAATCATTGATCTAATTGGATTAACACCCAGCTTTATTATCTGCGGTTGTTTAGATACTGTACTATTTGGTTAAATGAAAGAAAGACCAAATCTTACGTAACTTTCAACACAATTTAATAGTGTATCTATGTACATAAACACTACACGATAGCGTATTAACACACGCATTAATTTACAATCTATGAAAAAGAAAATCAAGCAAAATATTAAATTTCTTCGATGATCGACTGAGAACAATTAAGCATACCTATATTTGTTCAGGAAACCATCGTATTAAGTCCTACTCACTTAGGTTCTTTAACGAGGGCAATCACGACGATGCTACGAACAGGTCACGTGCGATGTATTGAAATAGGGACGCTCTAAATAAACTTTCCTTTCCCACCCCCATGGCCCACTTCCGAAAAGTCCAGAGTTCCAGACAGTTGTTTATTGCCGAAGCCGTTTATTGCGAGTCGGACTGTAAAACCTTACACACGACAACATAGCCAATAACTGAACATCAAACAAAGCAATTCACTTTGATATCAATGGAAAACTTCTTTAAGGCCATAATATTAATATGAATATGCAAAACGTGTGCATGATTGTTGTTTCACTCTTAGAAACCTTATACAGGATAATTTTAACGTTAACGAAGTGTGTTGTGTAGATGCATGTAGGTACGGGTTTTTTTATTTTTATTTTTTTTTTTTTTAAGGGGGGAAAATCATCGAATGACTGCTCCCGCCTGGGTGAGGCGGAAGGGAGTGTCAGACTCTTACTGACTAAAAACCACCCCATTCCTTCTCCTGCACGTCGAGCCGGAGCCCCGGTTACCCGTTAGGTTCTCCGCGACATGTAGGTACGGGTAAGTTACTCTAAGAGACCCATAAAATATAAATAGAGTAAACTTGGCTATGAATGGCCCGTCAAATCACCACACACAGAATGTACTATGGTCGATGTCTGCCAGGACTGTGGGCCAGACTAGCCAAATACTTCGACACTGGTATAGGATAGATATTGGAACTTAAACGAAGTGGTTTTAATCAGTACGAGTCTAACACAGGGAGTGTCTCGCCTTGGTTGAGTCATTTGATGATTTTTCGTCCTAACAAAAATAACAAGAATTTGAAAAAAGAAATACCAGGAAAATAATATCTCTAGCCATATTATCACACCTCTTTGTAGCACACAGAACGCAAAATTACATATTTCAGGAAGATGAGTAATGACAAAGTGGCATCCACCTGTGAACAAATAATGGCATACTGTGTTGTTTATTACGACAATATTGCCCCAGTATTGTTCGGTCCGCTGGTATATGTATGACTAGGCGATTTCAATGTAGCGCCCACTAGTACGTACTCAATAAGTACCTTTAACATAAAATAACATCACGCCTTTTACCCCCGAAGGGGTAGGCAGAGATGTACCTACAGTACAGCAGTTACTGCCACTATAATGTAGGTATGTATAATGTAACACCCACTGTTCACTATTTAAGTTATGAGTTCCATCTAATAAGGGGTAAGGGGTATCTAATCATATACCGGACACAATTCCAGACTGCGTGCTACCACTGACATTTTTTAAAAAACCCAGGATTACTTTGCTTGATCCGGGAATCGAACCCGAAACCCCCTGCCCGGCAGTCGTACTTGCGACCATTCAGCCAACGAGGCAGTGTTTTAATAGTAAGCACCTTTATTTACTCATAATGTGCTTTATCGATAACAATCAAAGATGTAATCTATATGGCCTGTAATAAAAATACGCCAAGTGCGATTCAAACTCGCGCATAAACGGTTTCATCTCTATAAAACACGGCAAAAAAGAAGTTTGATGTATGGAAACCTCTATTCAATAATTACTTTATTCTTTTTTTTTTTATTTGTTGCAGCGGCAAAAGAAATACATTATCTGTTAAAACATTTCATAGTCTATAACATTTTTTAGATAACCTACAGCTTGCTGACAGAGAGACGTACATCGAAATCGATGTCTTAGTAATGGTCCCATTTGACCCCTTAAAATAAATAATATTTCTATAAATACATTGTTTCATCT